ATGATGTTTAGCACCTTTACACAAAACGGTTGGCCATTTGTATCTTCTTTGGAAAAGTCTATTCAAGTTCTTTGCCCTGTCATTTGTAGAAACATGGATAAACCTGGAGAACATTATGCTAAGTGAAATAAGACTATACACAAAGACAATATAGTATGATCTCCCAGAAGCAGAGAGTAGAATGGGGATGGAGTGAGGGAAATGAGATGATGTTGGTAAAAGGGGATTCACTTTCAGTGTAAGATTAACAACTTCTGGGAACCTAATGTACGGAGTAGTGACTATATTTAATAATACTACATTTTATACATGCAATTTGCTACAAGAGTAAATCTTAAGTGTTCTGAACAAAGATATACACACACACACACACAATTACAAATGGTAACTATATGAGGTGATGGATGTGATAATTAGCTTGATTGTGGTCATCATTTCACAATGTATACATATATTAAATCATTATGTTGTACGCCTTAAATATATATATATATAATTTTTATTTTCCAGTTATACACCAATAAAGCTGGGGGGTGGAGTGGGAATTCTGCCTATGGACAGCAGCTTAGGCCTGTGCTTGTAAGTATCCTGAACAAGATCCTTTCTGAAGGCCTGCATTATGGATTTAAAACTATTTTAGCCAGCTACCACAATCACCTGACCCAAGTCCTTATGATAGCTATCAAGCTACACAGATAGATACATAGATGATAGATAATCTCCCACTTGCTCTGCTTCTTTGGTTGAGCTTTGTCTGATACAGTCCCTGACTTCAGTAGTCTTACATTCTAGCGGGAGGAGACAGATAATGAACAAGCAAACATACCAAGAGGTGATAAATAATATGAAGAGAAGTTTAGTAAGGTAAAGGCACAGAGGAGACAGAGATGGCCATCTTAAGGAAAGTGCCAAGGAAGAATTCTGACAATACAATCTTTCGTTGGAAGCCTGAATGAAGTGAGGAACTAATGTCCTATATGTATTTGAGAGAAACATATTCCTAGAATAGAGAATAGCAAGTGTAAACCTCCATGAGGAGATGGAACACTTCGTGTTTTGGAGGAAGAGGAGAATGAAAGGGCTGAAGTTCAGGCAGCAATGGGGTAAATGGAGGAATTAAGGCCAGCCAAGCTCCTGGGACAGATGATGTAGGGCTGGGAGGTCATTGAAGTGTTTGGGTCTTATTGTGAATGAATTGTGAAACTCCGCAGAAAATAGAAATGTATGGTGGGAGGGTGGAAACCAGGAGGGCAATTGGGAAACTATTACAATATTATGGGGAAGGGGTGAGGGCAGCTTGGTCCAGTGTGATAGGAATGGGGAGGGCAAGAAGTGGTCATATTCTCAGTCTATTTTGAATGTAGAAATGAGAGTTTGCTGAGGGATTTGGATGAGGGTTGTGAGGAAAAGTAGAGACAAGAATGACACTAATGTTTAGGCCTGAGCCTCAATCTCTTGAGAGGATTTCCCTGACTCCCCAACTCTGGAGTAGATGATACTCCACCGCCCTGCTCTTCAGACGGCAGGGTGATGGCCACACCACTCTGCTTTTGCCTGTTAACTTTATGTAATCCACTCAGGGTTACCAGCCTCCTGACTGTTTCCATCTTGTTCATAACTACATCCCTAGGACTGCTACAGTGCCCTGCAGACATTCACAAACATGTATCAGATGAACAGCTGGATTGTTTAATGGCTGTGGTTTATAATTAGGAAATTCTATCTTATATTTCAACCTATTTATTTTATTGGATAATATATTAAATATAATTTGTCTCATTAAATTTTATTTTCATACATTTATTAACCATTTATAATTTCTTTATTTTCACTATCCATTTTTAAACTTTCCTGTATGTCTACTGAGACTTTACTTGTTTTCATAAATTTGGATATAGTGTTTTTATATTATAGATAAAATGCCATCTCTGATATCTATAAAAATATTCCTTACTTATCTGTATTTCAACTTTGATATTTTCATTTTTATTTCAAATTGAGTGCTCAGTTTAGACTTTCTTTAAAAGTCCTTTTACATCTTCAGAACGAACACATTTAATTTATATCATTCTTTTTTAAGTGTTTTTTAAGTTTCGATTTTTTTAATTATCTCTGGAATTTATTTTGTATGTGATGAAAAAGGATTTACTAAACTGATCTTTCTCTAAAAGTGCAAAAAAAAAAAAGTTTAAAAGGACAGTGAGTTTTAACCTGAGAAAATTCCTTACCAATCTCTCAAGGCCAAGAGATGTTTACTGTATGTTATTTTTGAAATGGTAACTAAAGTCCTTATTATTTCTGAAAAAAATACCAGCTGTCCCTGCAGGCAATACTAAAATATGGGATAATAGCACTTGTTATTTTAAGAGATGCATCAATACATATCAGATATTTATTTGAATTGGTTTGCTGAGCTAACACTACTGAAAGATTTAGAGTTTGAGCACAAACAGTACTTTAGTTTTTCCAAATAACCTTCCATTTCCCAAGGACACCCAAACTGAGAGAGCTAAAAGGAAGAACTTCGTACTTCATATAACCATGCTTTGTAACGAAACAATTTCTACACATTCTTACGTGCTCAACAAACTCTTTCTTGTTATAATTGTGCTCATTCTACCTGTGACCTAAATAAGGCTTAATTCAATTCTTTAATAGCATAACACCAGTCCACTGACTCGTTCTTAATTTAGCACAGCCACAAATAATGAAACAAACTTCCTTAGCTTTTTTCTGCCTGTCAAAATTAAGCACAAAAGAGAAATGTAATAGTGGAAACTAAAAATATATATCAAAACAAGAAAATTTTCAAACTTTAAAAACTAATAATAAATTTGAGGGCAAAGTTGACTACTATACGAAATGAAGGACTTTGCATAGTTCAGGGCCCTAAATCCCTAGAGTTACCGAAATCCCAAATACAACATATTTTCTATTATTAGAATTTTCTATTTCTAATCCTGTTAAATTTATGCTGTCATAAAAATACAGAGATTCATGAAGCTGTTTTATAAGATCAAAAAGTTTTCATGTGCCAGAATATTTCAAACTCCAATTCCAGGTTTGGGTTTTTAAAAATTCAAATCTATAATCAACTTATCCTTATTTTTATCAAAATGAAAACATTTACTGAGGAAGGGAAGTGACTGAGAAACATGCTGGAATTTCACCTTTGTCACTTCCATTTAAATCAAGTCAGAGAACGTCCATGTGGCTTTCAAAGGTACAAATAAAACATGTAAAGAATTTTCGCTGACTCCTTAATGACTGGATTTCTTCTTATATATTATTAACTTTTGAACCATAAATCTACCCTACATCCTTGAATCTTGGCACTGAGCACTCAGAAAAAGTTTCAATGTTCCCGCTTAGAGAATATCCTTTGGTAAAAGATCTGAGGAATGTTTAATAGCCATCAAGTGACCAAGTAAATCATGTGAGGATTCCATCTTGTACATTTCATAATTACCTACCTTTGCATTTGGTTCACTATTCAAATATCCAAAGCAAATAAAAGGATTAAAAGTGAATGCATATATTTCATCTCAGAGATGATATAATATAAATATTTAAGTTAAATAATGTTTAATAAAAGCACTTTATTTGAAATATTCAAATAAAAAGCAAACTTGACCATGTACAATATTCTTTCATAAAAGCACTTAGTTTGAAATAGAAAAATAAAAAACAAATGTGATCATGCATTAGGAGTAATAATTTATGCAACAGTTCAGAAAGCCCCTTGTTATTTAAAGCAAAAACAGTATAATTTATAAAGATCAACTACAGACTCTCCTTGTCATGACCATATCGCATCAGGTGCTTTTATTGAGTACATTTCTTTTCAGAGCATGTGCTAGAAAAGAACAGTTGTTTTCCTTGCCCAATTTGAACATTTGGTTTTATAGTCATCATCATATCAGGTCATCAAAGGGGGCTAAGAAAACGTGTGTTATGGTGCATTGTAAGTGGCTTATTTAAATGCTTCTTCTGCTGGGCTAATTAATAATATCTTTTGAGTCTAAAAAAAAAATGAGTCATTTTAACAATGAGTTAAAAAAAAGCAACGTACAAGTGTCCAGAATTCCAACCACCCCTATAACATTTGAGTGTGATGATCATTTTAAATCACTTTTAACTGCTGAAGTCCAGGTTCCCCTCTCACTCTCAAGCTGAAATACAATAAATTTGAGAGATTCCAGTAGCATGAAAGCGTTGTGTACTGCACATGCTCAGAAACCATCACCTCCAAATTTGAGGGCATATAAAAATGTTAAGAGCTTCAATTATTTTCAATCACCATGTGCAGCTCAGAGAGAGATTTGAGATTGTTGTAGCGCTTCGCATTTTTTTAAGTGCTTCAGTTTGGAAAGGAGTCAAGCAGCATTCCGACAGAGACACGAGACACATTGTCCTGGTTTGACATCACAACACTCATCCCCACCTAAAAGCCAAGGAACTACTTTTTTTATTATTATTATTCAATTACACAGTTTGAAAGGTGGGGTCTTTAAAAACCCGAGGAAACACCCCCTTCCAATTAGGAAACAGTCAAGTGAGAAACGCGGTGATTACCAGGCCAGGGAGAAAGATCCAAACTGTGGTTACAAAAATGGTTTCCCTTCAACTCCAGGCAACGTGGCAGATGAAAGCGACACCAAGCTAAAGAAATGCAGGAAGGTCCCGCAAGCACAGCAGGCGTATTCATGTCCTCCCACGGCTGAATTCTAATCCTTGCGGCATCTCCCTCGCCAGGGTTTCCCTTGCCTCGATGGCCCGCAGAGCTCACTTTCTGGTTGCCTCTTGGATGACTGACTGCGTGACCTTATGTTTCACCAACACGCCGCAGCCACTTGTTGTATATTCTCTTTGTTCGATTGTGGGAGAGGGTGAGCACTTTGACATTTTAGACAGCTCAGAGTTCACTTTCGACCTCCGAATCCTTAAAGAACCCCAAAATTATATCAGCATAATCAGGCTATTTAAAGATGGCCTTTCTTCGGCATTTTCCATCTTCTCATCGCAGTGAAAAGTTACGGCCTCCTTTGTTGCCTCTGGGTTTTCACGTATGTTCGGCCTGGCACTGCCCGGAGAGCAGGATCCTGCGTCAGTGAAAACATAATGTCCTATAGTTAGTGGTGGGGGGGAAAGGATCGAGGGGGAAAAATGAAATAAAAAGAGCCCGAAGGCATTGAATAATTAAGCAAATCAGTGACAGCTGTGGCAGGTCCTGGGCAGAACTGGCTCCACTGAGCTGAATTAACGACATCAACAGCCCAGTATCTCCATTAACATTTGATCATTAATTACTGCCCTCTGACAGAGAGAGCCTGACCCTGCTTAGGAGTGGCCTGTGATTAATCTGCTTACCTGCCCTGAGCACAGCTCGCCCACCTCAGTGCAGTTGGTGGGCTGGTTTTCATTTCTGGTTTTTTTTTAAACCTCAACTATTGCTTCATTTACTTGGGTAAACGGTGATGACCATCCAATTATAAACCCTGCTTTGGATGGCTGGGTTACTTTTCCTTTTTTCATCTGCAACAGAGGGAACCTACCTGGATCTGTTTCACTGTATTCCTTTGTCAAGTTGACAAGGGTCAGGAGACACTGTCCACCTGACCAACTGCGCAAGGCAGCAAAGCAGTCATTCACCATTGTCCTCTTACTAGTCCTGTGGGGACAAGAATTCCTCAGATGTCCTCAGAATCCCCTTATTAGGACTGCGATCATTGGGCATAACTGCTTTTTCAGATCTAAAATTCTTCACCTAAAATACTAACCAAGACCATGGAGAAGATGATGTCATGTACATATATATTATGCATGCTCTCATAGAATTCTGATAATCCCTTAGATAAGTCACATTCTCTCACTTTTCTAATAGAACTTACTCGCATTTATCTTTTAAAAATTAAACATTTAGCCCTGGCCGGTTTGGCTCAGCGGTTAGAGCGTCGGCCTGTGGTCCAGAGAGACCCGGGTTCGGTTCCCGCTAAGGGCACATACCTCAGTTGCAGGGTCCCCGGCCCTGGTTGGGTTGTGCGGGTGGCAGCCACTCAATGTGTCCCTTTCACATCGATGTTTCGCTCGCTCTCTCTCCCTCCCACTCTATCTGAACAAAAAAATGGAAAAATGTCCTCAGATGAGATTTTTTTAAAAATTTAAACATTTATTCTATATCAACTTCTGAATGTTTCTGGTGAACCTTTAAAACTTGCCAGAGATTTGGCAATTTAATACACACACACACACACACACACACACACACACACACACCCCACAGATAATCTATAAAATTATAGAAGTATTAGGAGCTCCCCCCCAATATCTAACGGTCTGTTGATGTTTAACCATGCCTCAGGTTCTCTCCAACAAAGATGTGTCCTTACACGTGACAGTGTGTCTCCACTACTGGTAAGAAAAACATGAGAAATGCAAACAGAAACTCATGTGCTAAGTACACTCCTCGAGGCAGCAGACCTTAGAGTGTTAGAGTGATAATTAACCTTTACCAAAGAAGACTTTATAGTCGTCCAATACATTAATTTGCTGATTGTTCTTTTCCTGACAGAGTTCACTTCCTAGTCATAAACATTGAAACAATATAACTTAACAGAGTGCCCGTTCCAGCTAATGGCTATGAATGGACAGAAAATCCCAGCACTTTTAGGACTGCTTAGTATATTCCCCAGCACACAGAGGCAATTTATTATACACCCCTCCTCTTCAGCAAGAAAAAGGGTAGAATTGGGCCTGGCCTAAAGTTTCTGTCCATTTTATTTATTTATTTATTTATTTCTAGATCACTGATATTGGCTCCCATGTGGCAGAAAGTTGTAGGTTTTTCTAAGATGATTGTGAGAAATAAGTAAATCCCATGGTCACCATCCTAACCCTCAGAAGAGCCATACTCCCACTTAGGGACAGACCTCTGTTCTTCTATTTACAATAGCTCATAGATTAGTCCTCCGTGAGGATCCCTCTGGGTCCTTTAGTCAACTCATGAGTCACTAGGCCTCTTTGTTGGAAACCATTACTCAGAAGTCACCTTGGAAGCAGAGCATGTGTAATGAAGCCTTTGATTAATACAAGTTCTTGGTTATCCAGTACAATAAAATAATAAAAGAAAAAAGTATTTTGAACTTTACAGATTTCAGTTCTCTCATCTGTAAAAGTACCTGAAAAAAAATAAACAGCATGGCTCCTAATTAGTCTGAAGTTGAGATTTTTGTTGAGACATTTGTTTGCATAGCTAAAACCTTCCTAGTAAAGGAAGAATATAGAAAGAAGAACATAGAAGGAAGGACAAAGAAAGGACCTGGGGAAAAGGACAAAGTAACCAGGACTAAATTCTATTTAGTAAAAATGTTTAAACTTGATATTTTTTAAATTCAGGCAACTTTGTGATGAGAAGAGTGAAAAAATATCAGTGTTTCCCATCCAGGTACCATTTCATTTTAGCCTCATGGGAATTACCATCATATAACATTAGTCTTTTCATCATTTGACCAGATAACTATGTTCCTTAAGACTTTCTCCCATTTTATACAAGTTTTATAAATTCCTACAACTGAGTTCAGTTGCACTTCATTTTAGCATACGCTGACTGCTCTTACATCCACCCCTACCGATGACCAACCATGTCTACCGTTGATCTTTTTTGGTCTCATAGATTCAGATGTGCTCAACATTTTATCTTATAACTTCATTCAACTTTTTTTATGTCATCCTAAATAGTTTCAAACCTAGATTATATATATATATATATATATATATATATATATATATATATATATATAGTTTCCCTCTAGTTTTCTTGTTTCCCTCTAATTTTCTTCCATCAATAACATTGTTGGTTTGGATTCTTAAAACTTCTATCAAATTTCCTCTAGCTGCTTGTCAATGTTGCCTGTTCCCACTGCATACTAATTTTCTCTACCTGGTATCGTTGGTTTTAGTTTTTCCATGGTTTTCCTGACTCATAAATTACATTGAGTCACCCGAGTTCACTTCAGGATTTCTAGCTGTGAATACCAGCTTCAACAAGACTCCCACTCTGTGTAATCAATCCGTGTTTGGAAACACTTAGTAAGAAGAAAATGAATGAGCCCAAAGTGTTTATGTGCCATCTTCATGATATTTCAACAAAAAGAGCCACGTTTTCTATGGGTGAGCCTTAAAGGAAAAAGTCACTCTGTTAAACATTCCTCTATTATAGCTTCTTACTAAATATTTTTCTGAATTTTCTTCCTCTTATGCCACATTCACAATGACTCTTTAAAGAATAAAAATCTTGCATTTTTATTACCTTTTTTACATTTAGCAAAAGGTTACAGAGCAGATATTGTTTGACATTGAATTTCTGCTAACATGTCCTCCACTAGAGCATAGTTGTACACATTGTTTCAGAGCTAACATAATGGGGAATATTTTCAAAGAGGGCTGTGTTTCAAGCCAGATGGTTTATCTGCCGAAACAATTCTCCCAATAGAGAGATGGTGGCTGCACAGTTGCAGTAGTGTTCATAAGCCTAGTGCAGTAGATTCATTTGGCACCCACATCTTGGAGTCAAACAAAAGTGTGGTTTGTGTGAATCTCAGACGCAGACGTTCATAAGTGACATGGAGTTTTCTGCAATGGCACATTGTGCTTTATTGTAAAGGCAGTAGTGTGTTTATATCAGAACCACAATACTCATAGATGGTATGATTTTTAAATGTATGTTAATAGTTTCACCCATCCAGTGCAAGGGGAAAATACCAGAATAATTGCTTCAGAGATTATCACAGTCTGGTCCAAAGAGGGCCAAGTTGCCATACTTGTGTTGAAAGCAAATGGATTACCAAATCTCAGGTCCTCTAAGTCTATTAAAATTTGAAAATGAAAGACTAGACACGCATGATATCTTGAGATTTGGGCAAAGATGACTGTGACCTAACGCACAATCAGGAGGTACACAGTGTTTTATCAACTCTGTAATTCAGGGCTCTTTGTGTCTTCTCCTAAATAACACTCTTGATTTAAAATCTCATGATTTTTAAGGGCCCCTTCAAAAAGGCCTTGGTGGCTCGTAGTATGGACTTCCCTACCCAACAATGATCTTCAGAAGTGTTGCTATGCACACTGGGAATCTCACCCTCCTTTGTCATAGGAACTGTCACTTCCCTGTATATTAATGCTACCCACATTTTAAAAATAAAACAGAAGAGTTAGAGGATTCCGAGAGGGGGTTACCATGCTCTGAAACGTCTCAAGCATGTAGAGGGATGGGAAAATCCCTAAGATTCCAGAGATTAAAAAAAAAAAATAGCACAAGGGAGGTTCTAAATAAAGAAATGCTTGGGTATGTTGGGGAAGTTGGCACAAGCCTTGCAGTTCTTCCCTCGGAGACTGTTTTTGCTCGAGTTGGCTAGCAAGTGAGAGAGAGAGCGAACTTGCATGTGAGTGGCTTTGTGTTTCAAGAACTCAGTGAACGCTAATGACATTTTATTTTCGTGGAGAATAAAACACCTTTAAAAATATATTCTCTTCCCCTGAATCATTGTTATCTCCAATAGAGCTCATATTTTAATAATGTTATAGAAAAAATACTATGCTATCTACTTCAAAACTTTAGGATAAAAGAAGAAAGGGCTTTTTCTTTTAACAAAACAGTGAAAATACAATTAGAACTATGATCTCCACAAAGTGAGTTAGCATTTTCTTCACAAACGAAACATACACACACACTCACACACACACACATACACACAATTTGTGTCCCATAATAACTCTCAAACAAAAGGAGAAAAAGTAAAGGTAAACACACTGAAGCTTAACTACCCTGAAATTAACAGGTTAGCTAGAAAACTCCGGGACACTGCAAATATGAACATATCATCTTTTAGGGCCCCCAAATATGATAAATCTAGATCAGAAAATTTCACTCCAAATTAATGTGTACATTAAATTCAAACAAATGGTAGAAGCACATGCCAAGATAAAAACCTTTACATGACGATCTCCGAAACATAGTGTGAAATGAATACCTGTGGGCAAATCAAAATAAAAAATAAAAACACCTGCTAATTACCTGCATCATTTTGGAGGCTGCCCAAAGACT